TCATCAGAAGGAGGAGGCGGGGTTCACAGAGAGTATGCCTGCAGCATGGATACTCATGTCCCCATCACTCCTAAATGGAGACTTGCAATCCCAGAAATCACCTGCCATCCTGCCTGTGCACAGTCCCTCCTACCCCCACCCCCACCCATGGCTGTGCTTTTCTGCCTCGGCAACTCCTATTCATCCTGCATGACCCTGACAGCTCCTCCTCTGGGAAGTCTTCCAGCCTACCCTCGGGCAAGCGAGTGCCTTCCTCTGGGTTCCGTAGCACCCTGTCCTCTCTCCCACCAGCCACTGAACTTGAACTCTCTGCAACTGGTCCTTTTCCCCATGAGCTCCCCTGGGTCAGGCCATGGGTGCCATTCATCTTCGAATTCCTGGTTCCTGGCGTCATGCCTGGCATCAAGTCAGCATCAGTGAACGTTTGAGGAATGAACAGAGGAGCTGGGCCAGCACCACCCACAGAGTGAGGAATGAAGGCAGAGGCAGAGGCCAACATCCCAGCAGCTGAGCTACCCCAGACATCCCCCGCCCACCAGCAGGCTCGCCCTGGCTGCTGACCAGGTCCAAGGTTCTACCTCACCTCTCAGCAATCTCACGCAGGGCAGGACAGGGCATCCTTGCTCCCTGCCCATCCCCTCCTTTTCTCCCAGGCAGGAGGGGCTGCCTCGCTGAGAGCATGCCCAGAGGCAGGGCAGGAAGGGGCTAAGGGGAGCAATTAGGCCATTTGAAGGACACAGGGTATGAGAGGAGCCAGGGCACTTAGAGGACCAAATGCATAAAGTGAGGACAACCACATTTTTAGGGAAGGAGACTGGCCCCTGGGACCTAAGGACTAGCTCCCTCATTATAGTGCAGGGGGATGTGGTTTGGGTCCCCTCGAGTTCCTCCTCTTCCCAAAGCTCCTTTGGTTCCTGAACCCTAGAGTACAGCAGTTTATGTTATGCCTAATCCGACACCAGGGCATGGGCCAAAGCAGAGCACCCACTTTCCAGATGGGAATCTTGAGGTCCTGGGGAGCCAAGGGTTTCACTCCATCTGACACAGGGTGCGTGGGCCAGAGGACCATGACCTCTATTGCTACAGACAGGCTGTACCCCTCAGCTGTGGGGGTCAGAGAGTTGTGCTGCAAAGTACAATGCCTATTGCCTTGAACTCCTTCCTCCTGGCAAGGTTGCAGAGTGGTTAGTTAAGAGTGATACCATCAACTTCCAACTAATGAGCTGATGACAGAGGAGAGTGCTTTGGGTGGCCCTGAACCCCAGGGTCATGGTCTTCTCCCCACTCCTGAGGGCCTGTCCTTTGAGGTGGCCCTGATCACTCTGTCTCAACATGCAGAACCATGTTGGGCCCTTGCCCCAGCACCATGCCAGGAGTGCTCCATGTCTGTGAAGTGGCTCTGATACCTTCCCCTTCTGACCTGACCAGCCTACAGCTAGTATTCTCACCCAGACCCTGGTTACACCACACTCAGATTGTGGCAAGTGCCTCTTCTTGGGTCTCTCCCATTTCCAGTCTACCTGTCAAGGCTCCACATTCTGAAATCTGGCTCTAATAGTGGAGCTCCCTTGCTCACAACCTTCAATGCCTCCCTATTACCTGTCAAATTCACTCCTGACGTCTTACTTGGCTTTCAAAGCCCCTCTGCTCAGGTCTCAACTCAGCCTTAACTCCCTCTTGCCTCTCCATGATGTCCCCTGTCCTCCTTATTCGGTGATCCCTCCAAGGCTCCAGACCTGTTCCTTCTACCTGGAGAGCCCTCTCTGTCCATCTCCACCTGGAAGCTCTCATTCATCCTTCCAGGCCCCTGCTCAGAGGGAAGCTGAATATGCTCTCCTCCTCTGAGGCGTGAGCCCCCAGGATGTGAGGCCCCCAGGTTGTGAGCCCCTTGAGGACAGAGTTGTCTCACCCATCTTCTAGCCCCACAATGTGCAGAGCACAATGCTGGGCACAGGAGGGGAATAAGAGATGCCAAATGAGAGAACAAGCACAAAATCTATGTATTCATCAGGCCAATGTTTATTGAACACCCACTAAATGCCTACCACCTGCCAGGCCTCCAAGATACAATGGTGAACAAGACAGGTGTGTCTGTCCTGTGACGTGTAGACAGCCCATGCTCTAGAATGTGCTGAGCATTAGCTGAGCATTAGGGGATTAGCCACAGCTCCATTCACCCCTCCCCACCTGCCCCTGCATATCTGGGGGCTGCCACCCCACTGGTGTGTGTTCAGGAAATGCACACCATCAGCCCAGGCCTGCACATCTTTAGGAGGTCATACCCATTCATCCACTCAAGGTCCATTCCCTGCAGGGATCAACCCCCTCCCAACTGTCCCCAGGGCTGGGCAGCCCAAGGTCTCCAGGTTTGTAGGTAGGGGCTGAGAGGGCAGGGGGCCCTAGCTGATCCTCAGGGGTGGTCAACTCTGGCTGTGCTGGGGGAGCGGATGGGTTCTTCATTCTCTCCCCACCTGTCTCTGACAGGGAAAGAGGTGGGAGGAGAGGAGGAGTGGGAGAAGAGGGTGTAAGTCCCCAGTCTGTCACTGGTCCCATGGGCTCACAGAGCCCAGCACTGTAGACCTGCTACCAACCGCACCCACAACCCTGAACAAACACAATGGGCTCTGGCTGAAAGACTGCGGCAGGGTCCTGGGGGTCCCACACAGATGCCCTTTTAATCGCTGGATTGTGGGGTGAACTAGGGTCCCAGGGGAGGAGCAGGAGAATCTGGGGCAGCAGCAGTCTAGACAAAGATGATGTACCTACTTGAACAGAAGTATTTTTGATACTTACCTTAAATATTTTAACAGCTAGTATGACTAGGTCAGTACATTCCAGCCCAGCTACCAACCACAGTGCCCATATGATCACATTGAATCCAATTTAAAACCACATATTTTATTGATGTCCTTCATAGACAATACAGGGCCATGTATACAAATGCTACCCAAGTCCCACGCCTGGCAACCTCCCCACTGTTATCTCCCACTGCCCAATCTGCCAGGAGCCGACCCCCTGCAGATCTCCCTTTGGCTTCCTCCCCCAGCGTCCAGCCTCACAGTGCTGAGGCTCCAGGAGGCTGCAAGTGGCTTGGCTGGCTGCCAAGCTGGAGCTTTGGGGTCAAGAGAGAGCCAAGGCCTGGATCATCCAGGGCCTCTCTCTGTACCCTTCCACTCCCACTACCTAAGTATGGCCAGAACTGGGGTGAGGATGCCCCCCAATGACTCCTCCATCCGGGCAGCCTGGGCTCTTCTACAGCCCTCTCTGCCACACCCTTCCTCTCCAAGTGGCCTGCCCTGCTGACCACCAAGATAGCAGAGTGACTATTTTTCTGAGGGTGGGAGTCAGTGCATGGGGACAGTGAGAAGATGGCCCTGATGGCAGGGATCTCATTGTCTTGATTGCCACTGTATATCAGTGCCTGGAAGAGCACATAGTCGGCACTAAATAAATACATGTAGGATGCGTGAATGAAGCAATACAGGAGGGAGACGTGTAAGTGGGTGGAGCTGTTACTACATTAGCCCTCTAGGGGGCGTGAAGGCAGGACCAAGGTACAGTCCTTCCAAGCTCTGCTCAAGAGCTCAAAGTGTTGTGTAGCAACAGTAGGGGTTGCCATGGCCACCAGCTGGACACTGTAGGGTGTGGGTTTCAGCCCTGCTGCCTGCAAGGATGGCAGACTGGCCTTGGGACCCAGTCAGGAGGGATACATGTGTTGTCCCCACTCCCTCATATGCCCCAGGGGTCTGGTCCTCTGGGTCCCAGAACGCAGAGACGTGCCCCTACTCAAAGCCAGTCAGATAACAGGGCTGGGCTGGCAATGGTACCCCCATATTCTGGTCTCCCCATTCCACAGTCTTAGTGCTCCCAATCTCACCTTTCCAAGTTGAGCATGACCTTCAAGCCCTGCTCTCTCCACCACTGCCCCCACCTCCCCCTGAACTGCTCCATCTCCCTGTCCTCAAATGCCAACCCCCTTTAACTATCATTAACACTCAGGTAGACCTGTCTCTCCAGAGACTCTCTCCTTGGTGGCTGGGTGAGGTCTTAAATTTTGCATCATAATTTTCAGACTCATCTATGCCAGGCCCACCTCTATGAAAGCAAATAACTCACAGGCATCTCTACAGATCTTACCTCTGGACCTGGCAGTCACAAAGAGGACACCAGAATCTTGGGGTGGGAAGAGATTTTCCCTTTCCTGACCCCATGCAGAAATCCTTTCCACAGCATGCCTGCTACATGACTGCCTAGTTCCTGCTGGAATGCCTCTAGTTTGGGGGCACTCACTACCTCCCCAGGAAGCCATCCTAACATGAAAAGCTTTAGCTGCCAGAATGTCCTTTATAAAGGGAAAAAATGAACTCATTTGCCCCTCTCATTCTCAGTCCCCAAATATCCCAGTGCCCAGCCTCTGTGTGACCCTCTCTTTTCCCTTCCCCTAAGCATTTGCATCGCTTTCTCCCTCTAGTTCTCTCTCTCTCTCTCTCTCTCTCTCTCTCACACACACACACACACACACACACACGCACACACACACGTCCCCTTCTATATGGTTATGTAGTCAGCTGCCTCTCATTTGTCAGCATGTCCCCTTTCCTTCTCCCTTCTCCTTGCCTTCCCAGCATCTAGCAAACACTGGAAGAGTGCCAGGGAAAGGAAGCATCCAGCCAGGCCCTGGACGGGCTGGGTTGGCCAGCTGGGGCAGGGCGCACAGGGGATAGCAGCTGGAATAGAAATCCCGGACCATTGGTTGCTGTGCCCCAAAGAAAGGGCCTTGCAACTCAGGGGTGTGGCGGGCAGCAAGCTACTGAGATCTTTTTCCCCTCTCACTGCCCACAATTCCTGAAAGGGCATGGGGACACCCTCCCTCCTTTCCCAATCTCCCTGGCAGTTGGCAGAGCAGGCTTGGTAATTTTAAACATTTTGTCATTTTAAACATTTTTGCCAGACTCCAGGTCCCAGGGAGCATCATACCAGCAGCAAGAATGCATTCCCCACTCCCAACACGGGGCTTAGAGGAAGAGCTCTCGCAGATGGCAGCGAGGACGTGGGACATGGTAGAGAAGGGATGGGGAGGGGAGGGGAGAGGGGCAAAGCAGGGAGCCAAGGAAAGGAGACAAAAGCAGAGGCCTCCTAGCAGCCACACGGCTGGCCCCTGGAGAGTGTAGCAATGCCCGGGTGGCCATTTTTTCCTCCCTGTCGTGATCCACCAGCCGATGTTGTTCCCCACGTGTCACAGACCAGGGATGGATGCTAGGCCACTACTGGCCCTAGGTTGCAGTGGGTCATGGGCGGAGACAAGGGTGCCACGATCTTATGTTCAGGAGGAGTCAAGACACACGGAGAGAGACACGATGGGGGCGCCTGCTACTTGTCCCGCAGCTTGGAGCTCTCACCTCCAACGTTGAGCATGGGGACCAGCAGGCCCAGCAGCCACCTCTTCCCAAACACCTCCTGTAAGTTCTTGCGCCAGGGCCGGGCCCTCACTGCCACCCCCTTCCGCGCCTGGTGGCGGGTCTGCCCCCGGAGGATCAACAGCAGCTGATGGCAGCAGAAGCCGGCGCAGGCCAGGCCCACGGCAAACCAGAGGTAGAGCATGAGGATGACGAACATTTCAGAACCGAGGACAGCTCCTGCGGGGGAGGGGCGGGAAACGGCGCCGCTTTACACCCCGGCCGCGCGGGGACCTGCCGCCGCCGCAGGCGCTCCGCGGGCTGGGAGGGGCGCGCGGCTGAAGCTGCGTCTTACAGCAACCTCGGCGCGCAGCGGCCCAGAGGAACTTAGTTGATCTAACTTCTTAGCGCTGATGGCTCCTTGGGGCTGATGGGGATGTCGGGGAGAAGGGAAGGAAGCTTCCCTGGACACTAACATCCCCTAATCTTCTCTTTCTGGCCTGGAAACGGGGAGAAGGGATTTTTCTCAGGAGGAGAGAGGGGTGAGCTGAGGATCCTAGAGAGGGAGCTGGCGCCTGGGCGGCTGTCTAGACTGAAGCACCTCCTCTCTACGGAGCTGGAAGCATCGGCGGGAGGGCTCAGGAGAGTGACACGGGATGGAGAGCAGGGCCTCGTCATCAAGAGTAAGTCACGAGCTCCCAGGGCAGCACAGAGCTCCAGCTCCAACTTAGAGAATGCACCAGTCATTAGTGTTAACAAGAGGACATTGTGGCCGCCAGAACACCCGGCCAGAGCTGTGCTGTCAGGAAGAGCTTGCTAAAGCTGGAAGAGGCCTCCACCCCCACCCCCGGTCATTGGTTCAGCCCCCTGCCTTGGGCAGGACCTCCTGTAGACCCCTCTAAACAAGTGCTCTCTGTTACTAGTTTTTAAACACCCTCTGAATAAGAGATCCCACACTCTCCTTCAGAGTGGGGGTGGCCAGTCCACGCTAAGTTTGAATCTCCCAGCTCTGTGGTCTCACACACGTTTCTTAACCTCCTGAGTTGCAGTTTGCTCATCTGTAAAATGGTTCCACAGGGTTGCACAATTCAGGAAAATTGTGTGCAAAGTGGCCAGCTTTCTGGTTCACACTCAGGGCAGTGCTCCCTGCTGAGGAGACAATACCCAGAAAAGTCTCAACTTTAACTCCTTACACCATCAAGCTTTCTCCCTCTCCCCAGGGCTTGAAGTCCTGGCTGGGCTGCAACTCTGGCAGCCATGGTAGAGACACTTACCTTGGCCTGCCCAGCATCCAGGGCCATGAACCCAGGAGAGAAGTCGAGAGCCCTCCTCAGGTCCTCTTCCTGCAGGGTGAGCCCAATACCACCTCCTCCAGTGAGATGGGGGTGCCTGCTCCAGACCCCACCTTACAACCTTTTGACCTTTGCAAATCTCAACCATGCTTTCCCTTCTCCAGCTTCCCCTGGTTTCCTCAGGCTCCAATTTCCAGGCCCCTGAGGATTGAATTTTTAAAACTTGTCGAGTCTAAGCAGTGGTGGACTCAGCCACCAGGAGGATGTGGGCCTGGTTTGGGTTTGCTCATTAGCAGCCTCCTCTTGCCCTCAGCCCTGGGAGCTTTGATAGCAGGTTTCTATTTGCAAAGTTGGAGAAAAACAAGCCCATCTGCCCAGGGGATGAAAGCTCAGTCCAGCTTGCATTTTGAGGAGCCCCCCAGGTGGCTGGGGGCAGCAGCGGGGCAGGGATCACATTGGGCTGGCCACCCCTCTGACTCACTTCCTCTTGTCAGCACAGAATAGCTAAGGTTCCCTTTGGGCTCCGGGAATGCTGACAGGCAAAGATGGCCCTTGAGCTGGGACGTGAGAACATCAGAGCTGTCAAGCGTGGGCCTGCCTTGCAACTCAGCCTCAGGGACAAACCTGGCCTGATGGAAGCTGTTTTTTCCACAGGCTTTTTTCTGGCACTAAATCAAGGCATGTGGAAAAGACCTTGTGGCCTTCTCCTGGCCCCTTGTGGCAGCTACAAAAAGCTCTTCTGGGAACCTGCGCTTTCTGGAAGCGTTTGAAGTTGCCTAACCTGGCTGCCTCGGCTCTCTGAACTACCTAATAATAGTTCTGCTTCTTTTAGAAAAATCACAGTTTTCCTAAAGGCCTGAATGGTCACATTGTGCAATCTCTCCCTCCCTGCTTCCCACCAAGCATTAGTAGCGCCTTTGACAGATCATTGCCTAGCATCTTTAACATACATTCAGGGACAAGAAGCTCTCTTCCTCCCAAAGTGGCTCATTCATCAAGAAGCAGCTCCAGAGAGGCAATGTGGTGTGATGGAAGGAATGTGAGCTTGAGGCTTGCAATCCTGAGTCCAAAGCTTGGGTTGGAATCCTACTAGCTGTGTGGCTTCAAAGCAACTTAACTTCATTGACCCTTTGGTTCCTGAACCTTTAAAATGGATATGATAATACCTACCTCCCAGACTTGTGGTGAGGATTGAATGAAATGAGACCTGCGCAGTGGGTAGCACATAATAGGTACTCAACAAATGTTAATCTCCCTTCCTTCTACTGGACTTTCTGGTGGCATCCACCACGCTGGTGTACTTATACAAATGCCAGAACACAGGTCAGATGGCATCATCTCCATTTCCTAGGTGACAAGAATGAGGCTCAGAGAGGTGGTAAACCTGTACTGATTCCATGAGGCCAAAAGAAAAGGCAACTTCTAAAATCCACCTGGCTAGCCTCCCACCTCTTTAGCATCAGCTAAAGGCCCATGGGCAGCAGCCACCAGAAGGCCCCTTCCACTTCTAGCTCACAGGGCCCACACTCACAACCACCCCATGCTCTGGTGGCAGATATCACTCAGGGACAGCACCACAGTTGGGGATAACAAATACTACGGTTGGGAAATAATAACTCAATCTTTCAAACAACTTGAGCCTCTGACTCCTTCCTGCCCTCCTGAGCAGATGAGATAGGGAGTGCCCTCAACCAGTTGGGTTGAGAACAGGGGGAGAAGAGCTAGGGAGGGAGACACTGAAGCGATGAGGGGTGTGTTTTGGGGAGGGGAGAGAGGAGAACTGGCAAGGGGACCGATGGAAGGTTGGCAAAGAAGGAAGGTGAGATGGGAGAGTTGGGGATGGGAAACCTTGGCCTTTTTTTTCCAGTGGGTATGGGGAGGAGATAAGAGATAATGGTGCATATCCTTCTGCTGGAATGGCATGTGGGCTCCAAGGTAGGCACACACGGGCTCCGTTCTCCCATCAGATCAAGAAACAGGTCCTACTTTTTTCCTTTCCTGCCTCCCAGACCTAACACATATGGATAGGCCTCAGGCCCGGGCTTATCTCAAATCAGGTCATTCCAAGGTCCTCCTTTTGGAATCATCCTTTTCATGTGATAAAACTGCTTGGAAAGGAAAGTGTAATTAGGCTCTCTAGCTCTCCTCATCCCTCCACCTGCCTGTGCTCACACTCCACCCCCTAGCTCGCCCACCTACCCTCCCTCCTCCTGGTTATTTCAGTCCCAGCAGCCTCCTTTGCCAGTACCAGATCCAGAAGGCCTGAGAGCTCTGAGATCTGGGCCCAGCTCAGCCACCAGCTCTCAAGGCAACTCCTCTAGCTGGGTCCTCCCTGGGTGTCTGTGTTCCCACTGCCAAATGGTACAATAGTTCTACGCCTGCGAAGGACCAGGGCTGCAGCCCCAACAAAGACTGAAATGATGGCTTCCCTCGGGCGGAGCAGGATTTTTATGAATGTCCAGCCCAGGTACATCAAGACAATCTTGGGTTCTCAGTGGAAGTAGCTGCACTCTCTTTCTTTGTCCTTGAAAGGCCAATGGGTGAGGAAACCTGCTGTGTCCCCTGTGCTGCTGGGTGGGGGTGGGGGGGCAGGGCAGAGCCTGCTTTGCAGTAGTAGTAAGATCCTGGGCAAGCCATTTAATCCCACTTGAGCCTCATCTTCTTCATCTGAGAAATGGAGATAACGCTATTGTACACACCTGTGCGCACACCATCACCTGTAAGAGCCAAGTCGATCAGAGTCAAAGGCCACGGTAGGGATGGAGAGGAAGGAAATGAGGTAGGAACACATTTCAAGGCCAGGTAAAGTGGTAAGAACTGCCACCAGTCCCTCTGGGCCGGGCATCAGGGAGCTGTTCTTGGGGCACACTACATGCGGTCCTCACCGGGGTACCCAGCTGAGCATCACTGCGAAGGCCCACGTGTCTGGCTCCTGCAGGTGTGAGAGACTCCTGGAGGGTCAGATCCCACACCAGTCCCATGACTGTGGTGTGAGGATGGAGCCATTAAACGTGGCTGCATCTCCAATCAAGGTGCCCCCTGCTCTGAGGCATCTGCAGGCTGGAGCCACCTGGTGAGGTCAAACATCACGGGCGGGAGGACAGGACTTAGTCTCCTGCTGGGGCTGGCCTGGCACCCTGTTGACCTTACTGTGGTTGGTTGGCAAGACCTTTGGAAGACAAAGTCCTTAGGGGAACGTGTGAGCAGAATTGGGGGCCAGGCAGAGGAAGGTCATAACAGGGGTGCACTGCGCAGCCTGCCTGGCACTGAGCCGGTGTATTGCTTAGGTCACCACAATTCTATGAGCAAATGGACAATGGTGAGCAAAAAGGAGATGATGAATGAGGATGGGGGTAGGGAGAGAGGTTGCCAGATAAAATACAGCATGCCCAGTTAAATTGAATTTCAGAGAGCTAACAGTACCTTTTTTTAGTATAAGTATGTCTCATGCAATATTTAGGAGATACTTATACACTAAAAAGTTATGCATTGTTTATCTGAGATTATAATTTAATCGGGCATCCTGGTTTAAATCTGGCACCCTTGGGGTGGGGGTGGGGGTG